CACACAAACACCAAAAGAAATCATTTTGTGTCTGTCAATGAACCGAAAAAAGGAAAGAAATTAAAAAGACTCGTGGCGCGCCATTTAGTCTCTTCAAAGCTGCTCAAAGGTGAATATTATCGCACTTCATTTTACTAACTGAACGACTAGAATAGGATACAAAGAAACCAGATAAGAGCTATAAGATTGTGCTGCTTATGAGTGTCTCAGTAAAATACAACCAAATTTGACAGAGTTATTTATCATCTCACCACCATCATCCTCATCTTGCGTAACTGAGTTATCAATTTTGAGTCTTTCACTAACAAGAAAAACAAAAGATTTTATTTTTAGTGAAATGTGAATTACTTGGGAGCCTTCGTTTTTCAAAAAAAAAAAATACTGTAAAAGCTTACTCTTCTTCTTGGAAGGTTTCCACGTCTCTTCTCCTGTCAAATACAAAAAAAAGCAATCAATGAGCATCTGTAAATCAAGCTCTCCAAGCTGCGACTGTTCTGCCAAGACGAGTAAAAAATAAATTTGGCGACGCGAAAGTCATTAGTTTGGCAACCGTCGTTGATTTCAATGATACTTTTATTCAGATTCAGTGCGTTTTAAATTCTGCCATAGCACATCGAACGGCCCGATGCTGACAAGAGCTGGTTACAATGTTCACCTTGATATGCCATAGATGGACTTCTAATTAAGGTATAAAAGATGTAAACTCCTAAAACTGCCAACCTCACTCAATGAATGAAGCCAGTTTTTTGACATTGATGTATGACATTGATGGAACGTTTATTGGAAATGCTTCATATATTAGAGTCTAATTTCAAACAGTTATGTCAGACGTGAAACGTTTCCGTCTGATTTCGCATAGCTCCCGTCGGGCGTTGCCTTCCGCCTTCGGATACTTCCGTCCGATCTCGAACAGAATCGTCTAGTTTCGGACACTACCGTATGAATCAGGGCACTACCGTCTGATTTCGGACACTATCGTCCGATTTCCGCCACTGCCCTCCGATTTCTGACTCTACTTTCTGATTTCAGACGCCATTGGCTGAGTTCAGACACTACCATCCAATTTCACACTCCACTCCAATTTCAGCCTCACTGTCCAATTTCGGACTCTACCATCCAGTTTCAGACCCTACTGTCCGATCTCGAACACTATATTCCGATTTAAGACCATGCTGTCCTACTTTGGACACTACACCCTGATTTCAGACATAACCAATTCCAATTTCAAACATTTCCGTCTAATTTCATTGAAACTCAGATGACAACTAGCTCATAAACTGTAAACAAATGACTTCTTCTGACCCTTTCTTCTTTTCTTTGGGTGTGTCATCTGCCCAGCCTCCCTGTCTTCTTGATGGTTTTGGTGGAGGCTAAAAAAAAAAAA